TAAGAGTTTTTATTACTTTTTATTTATTTAGCTTCGTATATTTTCTAAAAGCTAATAGTATAAAAAATAAGTAGTTAATATTATTAATTTTATTATAATTTAATTCGTTAGTATAGGGGGCGAGATTTTCTTTGTTTTTTAAATTTTTTAGGGGGGGTAAATATTTTAAACCGCTATTTTAGCTACTATTACTAAGTTCTATACCCCTAGATTTACCCTTATATATAACGAGGAATTAGCTAAATTAACGAGGGCTAGTTTTATTATTTATTACCCTCGACTTTTTATATTATTTATATAATTTAATATACTCTTTTTTAAAATAGTTACTTAACTAATATCCGTCCTTTTTATAAATAAAATATTATTTTTTTATTACCCTATTTATAAGTTAAATCTTTATTTATTTAACGAATTTAGGCCTCTTTATTAGCGATTACTATACCTAGTTTTTTTTTTTCCTTATTATATATTTAGTTAACCTAATATTATTAGTAAGGGCCGTTATATTTTTAAAAATAAGTTTAATATAATATTTTCGCTTTAATATTAAAGCTAGATTTTAGCTTTAAATAAAGCATTTTATAGTTTTTAAGCGCTTAGTATAGGGTTATTTTTATTTTTAATACGTACTAAATTACGATATAAAAATATCTAACTTTTTACTTATTAATCCCCTTATTTAGCTAGGTTTTTACTAGCTTATTAATTTAATTAATAAGCTCTTCTAGGATTTCTATTTACGATTTCTTTTTTATTATTCTAATTATAAATATAAAAGAAATTACTTATAGCTTAGATAGGAGCTCTAGATTTTTATTATAAGTCTCGAAGTAACTTCGGATTATATTAATAATACTAAAAAAGTCGTTTTAATTAAAATTATGTACCGCTTCGTAATAATAATTAGAGGCTTTATTTACGAGTATAATATTAATTACTAAATAATATTAGTATTCCTTAATTCCGACTTTTTCGTAATAGTTATAAAATATTATTAGGGTTTTTTATAAGACTTCGTACTTCTCTTTAGAATATAATTTTTTTTTTAAAAAGATTTTTTTAAGGTTTATAAATTACTTTATATTTACTATTATATTTTTAATATTTATATACGATCCTTATATTATTACGTATTATTAATAATTTTAAATCGTCTATTTTTTTTTATTAGCTAATTAGTACCGAATTTTATATTAATAACGGCAACGAGCTATAGATCGAAATAAATAGAATTATTAATTATTATATATTTAGTATTATATTTTATTTTTATATATCCTTTTATAATAATAGATTACTATTAGTAATTATAAGAAGGAAATCTAGGTTATTTACCCTTTTTTTAAATTCGTTAAAGTAATTATACGCTCTATTAACCTATACCTAGTTTTATAATATAAATTCCTTTTTTATAATTATTACTATTAGGATTTTATATAGTTTTTATAATTATAATTACGTTAGTAATACCCCTTATTTATAGAAGAATTTATTAATTACTTTTATAATTCTTAAGCTTATACTTACGAACTATTTATCTAGCTAGTAACTAAGGTTATTTACGATTTTATAAAATAGGGGTTGCCCTTATAGCCCCTTTTTTTCGTAAACTTTAGTTAAATAGATTAATACTACGTTAATTTACTTATTATTAAGCTAATTTATAATTTTATATATTTACGTCCCCTAATAGTCTAAGTTAATATTTACTTATTTATAAGGGATTAGGATTTTATTTAAAATTAGGTTTTTTTTTTTTTTTTTTTACCTTAATTTACTAAGGGTCGTACTTTAGCTTATACCCATATTAATAATTACTAACGTATTTAATTTTAATAAAGATATATTTAATTTATATACTAACTATAATAAATCCGTACTTTTATTACCTAACGAATTTATTAGGGTTTAAGTAATTCCCGCTTTTTTTTATTATTTTATTACTATTCTTATTTTTATTATTTTTAATAATTACTACTACCTTTTTAAATTACTAATTATTATACTTACTAAGATCTTTTTTTTTACTTAATATAAAAAAGTAAGCTTTAGTAGCTCCTTTTTTAATAATAATAGTAAACGTTTATATTATTATAAAAAGATATAATAATTAGTCTTAGGATCTTTATTAATTACTAATTTTTACTATTTTTTATATTTTTAACTTTTTAAGCCTCGTACTCTTTATAATTTTTAAATTACTTTTTTCCTTAACCTATTTTTTTAAAGCAGTATTTTAAAAGAATAGTTAAAAATAGACGCTAAGTAGCTCGTAAAAGAGCTAAATAGGTTATTAAAAACTAAATAAGCTATTAAGTACGGTTAATAAAATTAAGCTCTCTTTTTTATAAAATCGAGGACTTAAAAAACTTATTAAAAATGCTTATTACTTCGTTACTTATACTAAATAAAGTTAATTATTTTAAAGGTCTTTTTTTTTATAGCTTCTTAATACCCTATTTTATATTTTTTAAATAGTCTTTTTTTATAATTTAATTACTATTAAGTAATTATTACTTATTAATAATCTTTTTTATTACTTAATTAATTTTTTAAAATTAGTAATATCGTACTAAGAGCTTAGTATAAAAAAAGAGCTTTTTAATAGCCTTTTAAAAAATTCTTTTTTTTTCCCTTAGAGCTATATTTTTTTAGCCTTTTTTTAAGCTAATTATAATTTTAATAAGAGGTTATAAAACTATTTTAAAATAATTTTTTTTTAAGTTAATTTCTAAAATTTATAATATTTTTAATTTAATATTATTAAGATCTCTAAATTTTTTCTTCTTTTATTAGATTATTTTTTATATTATATTCTTAAGTAATACTCGGGGGGTAATTAAGAGGGTTATAAAGAGATTATTTAGATCGTAAGTTTTAAAATTATATTTATAAAATCTTTATAATATTAGGCCTTTTTATATATTATAGATTTTTTAATTTAATAACTCTTATATAATTTCTTATTACGCTTATTAAAAATATTTATATTTAAAAATCCCTTTTTTTAATTACGTAATACTTTTTTATATTATATTACTAAACTCGTTCGTTACGCTAATTAATTAAGTAAGTAGTTACTACGTAAGTATTTTTTTTTACTAATTTAGCTAATTAATTTTTAATTACGGGCTAGTTATAGAAAAGTTATTTAGTAAAAAAACTATTTAAAATAATAGTAAAAGATTAGTTATTTAAGCGGTTTTATTAATTAATATAGTTTAATATAGTAAAAATTAACTTTTTATAAGTAGTAAAGGGCTATAATTATTTAATTTCGTATAATATTTAAGAATTACCTCTTTTTTTATTTATTTTTATAAGGTTACTTAATATAAATCTCTTATTTTATATAGTATTAAAAAATCGTCTTTTTTATATAATAAAATATTTTATTAATTTATAATAATAGAATTTAATTATTAATTAGTATTAGTATTATTATTATAAAGTAGTTAGTTTAAACTATAGGTTAATAAAGAGATTAATTAAACTATATAAATTTCTGCGTAAGTATAAAAAAAAGGTTCTAACCGTAAGTTAGGCTAGCTATAATAATTATAAATAGGGCCCCCTAATTGGCCCTTGCGTAGTTAGCCGTATACTATAGTTAAATTAAACTTCTAATCTAATAGTTATTAATTTTATTATACTGCCAGGCTACTAATCTATGCCTTAGAAAACGTGTTTTTTCCCGACTGTAACTTGTTAGAGTATCGTACTTGTAACTTAAAAAAAATTTACTTTCTTCGATAACAGGGTACTTAGACTTGGTAAAGTTTTTGGAGGTATCTATGACTCTGTTATTGTTTCGATTAGATCAAGAGTATATCTGGGATTTGATCGGAAGCCGAACTTATGCTTCTTTGCAACTCTCTGTAGTCACATGCAACGATAGATCTGCGCATGCATGCGACCGCACTATCATAACGAATGTGTGATAAAGCTCAACCAAGGAGCGTCTCCAGCCCTTCTTCCTCGATGACATCTATCCAGTGGACATGGCCGACAATCCTCAATTCCGGATCAATCATTATGTCTCCCCGGTCCATGCGCGACCATACCTTGACAAGAAGGGTCATGGCACGCTGTATGGTGTGTAGGCCAATGATTTGGTAGGTCCGGGACAATCTCTGGAGGACAAATTTTCTCCATCGCTCGATACTACAATTAAAAGTGTACTGTTCTGACGTGAATTGGCCCTCATCCGCTACTATGATTTTACCAAGTACTGAGCCGGCGATAGTGAATACCAGAGTCTGCGTTGCGATGGTCCGAGAGTCGTCCGGCATGGTTTCGAGGGTATTCAAGATGTCAAAAGCAAGCTTCAGTAACAGCTGTGACGGTCTGTCTATCCCATCACAAGGTATACGAATTGCTGGATCCGACTCCAGACGAGCTTTGGCCAGTTCCGGAAAGGCGCGGTACAGTTCCAAACAGCCACTCAGCTGGTAACAGTGGGCAAGTTGAAGGAAGTGAATGGGTGGAGCCTTGATATCGCCGGTGTCCTCAATGGATGACAACCTAGGGAGCTTGCTTCTGCGGATTTGATCTTCTAACAAAGAAGCTTCGTCAAGGAGATTCCCATGCGCCACTTTTTCGAACGCTTTGATTTTGTTTGACAACATGGCGCGCGTGAGTGATCTTTTCCTTCGTACAAGCGAACCAACTTTCGCCAAGTAAATGAACACCGAAGTCCCAACACCGGTCCAGGGACAGACACATGAAGGGGGTATCATGTCGATTTCGAGGAAAGGATCAAGGTAAGAAAGTGAGTCGGCCAGTTGATCAACAAGGAAAGAGACGAGCACTTCCCAGTACACCATCGATGAAACGAGAAAAGTTTGACTCTGGGTCATGATGATTAACTTTGAAGGACAGTCCGGTCCTTGAAATTTGGTCCAGGATTCAAAGAGCTGTCGAGACCCATGGATGTGGAATAGGCCGAGTGATGAGGGATTATGCCAACTCTTGACATTGCTGTCAGTTCTGTTCAATCACCTTGAAATGGGCATGGGGCTTACCGAGGTCATTCCGAGCAGGATTATGCCTAGCAGCACTTCATCCTTCACAGGATACGGTAACGACAATAAAGACAATGTTTGGTCAATGGTCGTCTCGCCAGAGTTGACCATTGCAGAATTGTTGATCTTGCACAGCTCTGTTGAGATCTCGGAGATTGCCTCGGTCTGGAAGCTTAGAGGCGTGGTCGAGGTGCAGTCGTCTCTATGGAAGTGGGAGGCGGACATGTTCATGACGCAAAGAAAGAGTAGGCGTGAGCCTACCATCATTTCCAGGACATTTGATCGAAAAGGACTCTGGCTGGAGTCGAATGACGAGCTTATTGGACAAACGAGCGAAAAGTAATGGTGCAAAAGGAGGGAGATCTGATCAAGAGGTTCATAAAGGAGTAGAGTGCTGTCAGCATATCCCTCACAGAGCATGCCATCGGCATGGAACTCTGATGCGCGATTGTACCAAATGTCTGTGGGCGATGAAGTGGCATCTTCTGGAGCTGAACCCCTTCTGATGAAGTTTGAAACGCTCACAGGTGACTGGACATCAACAAGATTGTGGTCTTCGTAGTCGGATGTAGTTGTCGAAGATGGAGCTTGAACAAGAAGCACTCCCCTCCGAATTACCGTGACCACAGAGCTCGTGATAGAACCTTGCGCTCGGGATCTTGATGTCGACATGGTCGGTGGTTCAACAGTTGTCTGATGCTCGGGTGAGATGTGAGAAATCGCCCGCGAAACGTTCCGAACCTCCTCCTCAAACCAGCCAGGGGAGCTACGATGAGATTTGTTGACACTGAAAGACGTGCGTGGGCTGCTCTCGTATTTTGTTGACCATTTCAATGCTTTAGCATATCCTGGGCAATCGATACCTGACTTTACACATCGTAGACAACTAGGCTCCGCCTCGTCGCATTTGATTCTCTTTAAGAATTACCAACATTAGGTGATGCAAGTTCATTGAACATTGTATACGGCTTACTCGGCGCTTGCAGCGAACGCAGCCACCTGATCGTGGTGAAGGTTAGTCTCCCGAGAGCCCGAAGAGTAGGATTATTGGCACTGACTTCTGGACTTGATTCTTCGGGAATGTTGAGATGAGCTGCTGCTCATGATCGCGCGATTCCGGATGATGATACGACAGCTTGACTGACAGGATCAACGTTGTCGATAGGAACAGGTTGGTTCTCCGGGACTGTGTGTGGTGCATGCCTGCACTGCCGAACAAGCATGCGGGGCGGGGCTCTGGGACTGATAAGTGTCTCGTCAATTCCGCGTCGCGAGTGCTTTCCGATTGGCTGTGGTAATCTAGCTTATCAACCAGCACCAGACACGACTCGGGCTCGCGCAATAGATGGGCTGTGCTAGAAGTTGATGGCTTACTAGACAAGTTATCAAAGATGATCCGATTGGTCGGGCGTTGCCTTGACTCTTGTGGACTGCATTGCAGCTTCATTAATCCTCCTTGGTGACTAGCAAACCCGAGAGGTTCCATTGCTCAAAAAGGGCGAACCTCATGAGAGTAAACCAATCACGTTGGGTCGAGACAGGAGAATGGACGTATATTTCCAAATCATAGGAGTTGGCTCAGTTCAAAACAATGGTGATAGTTGATTTGAGAAATAAACTCTGACTTTCTTCTACCAAGAAACCAAATGCTAGACTCAAACAGTATCACAGCCATTCATTACATGCAGCTCCGTCAGAGGCCCAACATACCTCTTCCTCGCCCGTAACAGCCAATAAACTGCACCGAATAGCAAAGCTGCACCAAGAACAACTGGCGCGTAGTTCATGTTGAGGGCGGTAACGGGTTGAAAAGGAGGAAGAATGAGGAATACGCATGTGAAAACCAGATAGCACACGGCGGCCGCATTAACTGCCACTCCGGCCGGTCCGAGGCGCCAAGGCCCCTATATCAGAGTCTCCGGACAGAAGATTCTACACCACAGCACGAGGATGATCGGGAATAGATATGAAGCTTGAAGGCTTACAACTGCGAGAGAGAGGACGGCATTGAAGGCCGTTGTGGAGCCGATGTTGATGAGTCCAAGGAGAACGAGTAGACAGGTTGTGACGACAATGGCACTAGTGGGGATCCCGCGTTTCCGCTCGACCTTGGACAGGACTCGGGAGAATGGGAGTCCTAGTGTGCTGAGATTAGCTTTCATAGCGTAGGAGTACCAATATGCACTTACCTTGATCTCTTGCAAAAGCCCACATTACACGCGCAGCAGAAGTTATCAGTGGAATAGTCGATACGATGGCCATGATCGTCACCGCAGCCGTAAGTGCATTGGCTGCCGCCAGAGATCCAGTGATGTTGTAAAAAATCTGGATGATGGGAAACCCGGTTGTCGAGTTGAGTGCCGATTCAATGTCGCCCATGCAGAACAACAGCGTGATCAAGAATGTGAAGCCGAGAGCACCGTTAATGATCACACAGCCAACCATTGCTCGAGGCACGCCGACCTGCGCGTTCTCCATCTCTTCGCTGAGATGGGTGGCCCCATCGTATCCCGCCAAAACGTAGCAGCAGCTCAAGAGGCCTATACACCATGCTATACCGTCGTTTGACCAACCCGAATTATTCTCGAATGTCGCGAATACGAAGGAAGCCGAGTGCTTTGTCGGCGACACCACAGCCATTACGATGAGGATGACCAGATAGAAGCCGACGTGCAACGTCATGGTAATCTTCTCCAGCAGCGGAAGAATGTTACTGCAGAAAATGCATACTAGCGCAGATCCCAATAAGATAGCCCAGTAGAGCAGAGTCCCATGCCACCTCTCGGAAGTATACGAGTCGGGGTAGTTGAGTATGAGAAGGCCCTGTATTTGGGTCCCGGCGAGGAACGGTGCGCTGCCGGCTAACGCGACCCATCCTAGAGTACTGCATAGCAGTTCGAGTAAGCTCGTGTACAAGTTGCTTTGCTTTGAAGTCTCATTCTTACGTGATATATCCTGCAAACCAGCTGTTGACCGGTCCTCTCCTCCCGGGGCTTAAATAGGCGACAAAGTGATACTGGCCTCCTGCTGTAGGGTGACTATACGAATGGTCAAAGAGATTCGTTGAGCGACTGCCCGGGCATCCCTACATAGACGCCAGCTCTGCCAAAGACATGGCGGAGCATAAAGATCCGATGAATGCAATGATGGCCCCATAAACTAGTGAGGCCGGTCCTCCATTAATAAGCCCTGTTGCCATGGTGCTGCCGGAGCGGATATTAGATATGCCTGGACCAAGACTGAGGATATTTCATACCTGCACAGAGCTTCCCAGGTTGCCATCAATGATACACATGTTGCCAGGATTGCTGTGGGTGAAAAGTTTCGCTGCAGTGAGATGAGCATGGTCATCTACATGCGACGTTCGCAAATGATAAAGAAACGCCTACCTTAACCTCTTGAGCATATCCGGTCTGTGTTTGATCCTCCCCTCCTGTGCCTGTCGGCATGCTTTGCTTCTCAGAAACCGATTTTGAGGTCATGGTAGCGTTGGGTAGCGGTTCAAAACAGCTTCAAGAGGTTTCGTAACGTCACATGAGCAGTCGCAAGCCATTCTCTTCAGAGCAACATTTAAATCAGGAACTATGTAGGATGCTGACCGAATTACATGTAGTTTTTCTTTCGGAATCTGGCTTATCTTCGCACTGATTGACACTCTCTAGACGTGCCAGGTAGATGATAGTGTCTATGGTGGTGGACGACCGACGCTACGCCCCAAATGGAATAAAAGTGCGAGCTGCAAGGGATCATGCACCCCGCAATCAAGCTAACAAGGAGATCGGAGCGGGGATTGCGAAGATAACAACACATGAATGTGCGACCCGCCTCCGACCTAAGGTAGAACTACATGTACTACCACAATACTAAAGCGAACCAAAATTCTGGACTGGCTGTGATGCCGCTTTCAAGGTGTCTTGTCTCGGAAAGACTGAAGTCAACGCATTCCGTACCTCTTTCCCAGTTACCCGTAGGCCGCGAGAAACTAATATCGAACCCCTGCAAGACGCCTCAGCTGTCTGCTAGTTGAGGCTCTCTAATAGTGAAGACCTGGCAGTCATTATTGCCGGTGAATTTCCGCAGTCCTGTGTGCCTTTCCAGATTCCAGACTTCTAGGGCGACCTATCTTAACGTCATGGGGACCTTAGGTGGAGGGATTCTAACTTCAACGCTGCTGGCAGAGTTACTCGCGCTATCGAACCAACTTATGATCTGAAAACATCCACCTCGGAACTATACAGAATTCAGAACTCTGACTGCCATTGAAGACGGCGGGAAGCATGGACTCAGAGAAATGGTTCAGACTGGAGGAACGACTCAAAGGGCAACGAAGAACCAGATGACAAGCGCCGACCAGGCCTGATGCTTGAAGAGTGTGTTGATCATATTTGCCTGAAATGATTTCTTGACTATACTAAAATCTGTATACCCCCAGAAGATTGCTCTCTGTCTCACAGCCTTCCATGCAAGACTGGCTTAGCAAGAACCTTGTTGGGGTCAGTCTCTGCTAGAATTGTAGCATACGACCCAAATCGCACATGGACCTCACGCTGGGGCTTGGGGTCCCAACAGAAAAATCGCCCGGTTGAGCGCATTTCGCGCAAATCAACAACGACCACAGACTCAACGGGCATGACCGTTTCCGTCCAAAACAACAGGTACAGGCTGTCACTGAGCTTCAGCATCTTGCAAAGCTCTGCGTCTGCTAGGCCCTTCTCGGTGCCGCTGAGGCAGTGCCACGCGAGGGTGTCTCTGTTGAGATAGATGTGCTCGTAAGCATCGCGAGGGGTGTAGCGATACAGAATGTGCTTGCCGATGAGCTCCTCGGTAGCTTCGTAGGCTTTGACGTTAGTGCCCTCGTTCTTGGTGGCGTTTGAAAACTTGGTCCATGTTCTGCGCTCGTTGGTTTGGTCACTGAAGCCGGAGACGCAGGCGATCGCCTGACCTGTCGTAGTGTCGAGAATCAAGCTGACTTGTTCCTTATAGTCGGGTTTGTAGAAGTCGACAAAGTAGATGCCGCTTCGGACTTCATATGCTTTGTACTCGGCATCACCCGTGACGCCGGCTTGGTCTCCTTCGAGAATTCTCCAAGTGAGCGTGTCTGAATCGTGGAACTGGTGTGAGATACGGAGGCCCATGTCAAAAATGTGATCGAATGTCTGTCCGGCAAGTTTTGAAGACGCGGGCATAATGTGCTCCTGGAAGCCCGCTACGAGCTCTTCCAGGGTAGGCCAGTCCGATACAGGCACGAAGTCGGAGGTTTCTATGGATGCGATCATTTTGAAATGCTTCGTATGACTGTGCAATGATCTCGGGAATATGATAATGATGATTAACAGCAAGAGGGTCACAAACTACTTCTTACTTTTTAAAGTAAAGCAATGCGTTTTCAGGCTCTAAGACTGATTGCAGTTTTTTGACATCTTGTATTTGCGCAGTCGAGTTGTTAGACCTCGCACTTTTTATCCCAAAACGGTTTAGTGGTTTCGCGGAAACTCGGACTGTCAATGTTCTTCTTCCTCGCTGAGACGCCCCATCCAGGACCTGGTCGAAGTCGCAGATGAGACGAGCTGGGAACTTGACTGCCTTCGTTTAAGATTCACTAATGTAGAAAATCCATCCAAGTTGGTCATTGGTTGCCGAAGGCCCAGAGATTAGTTGCATTCCGATTGTAGTTCCGAGATAGAATCGTCAATCTTGAATATCGCCCTCGGAACTAACGCATTTCTAATCCCACCATGCGTCTCTCTCGGTGGCTACTAGACGATCTAGATCTTGGACCTTGTCTTATCCTTCTTGGTCTCGGCACGGAAACGCTTCGTCAATTGCCGAATAGCCAGGTCCAGCAAGACATCCTCGCTACCACCAGGTATTCTCGCACCAGGAACCTCGCGGTAAATTTCTGAAAGCGACAAGGTTAGCCTATCTTCCTTCAAAACTTCGTATGTTAGTAAGTAGCGACACTCACTTTCGGCAATCTCTCCCTTGCCCGTACGCGTGTAGCCATTGCCGCCGAACAGCAGCACAGCACATCTCGCACATTCGTCGAGAACAATGCCAGCATTGGCTTTGCACAAGGCAGTCAATCCACCAAGCTCCTCGTCTGCAGTCTTCTTTGGCATCTTAGATAGTTGGAATGCAAAAGATTCAACCCAAGCATACTGTGACTCGAGTATAGCTCCACATTTGGCTAGCCGATGACGGACCACTGGCTGTTCGATGAGGGTCTTTAGTACTACTAGTTAGTCATGAACTTCAACGTAGTGCTTTCGGGGATCCTTGACTTAGACAGACCTTATCGAACGCCCTACGCTGCATACAATACTCAAATGCGGCGCTCAATGCCACTCTAGCTTGTCTCGTTACACCCACCGAGATGAACATACGCTCGTGATTGAAATTGTGCATGATATACTTCATGCCCTCGTTTTCTTTACCGATGAGGTTCTCCCGCGGCACCCTGACATCGTCAAACTCGAGATACGAGGTACCGGCAACAATTTGGCCAGCGACTTTGAGGCGCCTCCTGCTCACGCCGGGTTGATTCGCAAGAGGCACCACAAGGAGCGAGATGCCCTTCCCTCCTGAGCCTTCACTACCGGTGCGAACGGCTATGGTTGCGAAGTCTGCCATGACGCCATTGGTTATCCACTTCTTGGCGCCGTTGATGATATACTCGTTGCCATTGAGCTCAGCCGTAGTAGTGATGTTGGCCACGTCTGATCCCGCACTGTGATCGTTGAGCCGGCGAGATTAGCTAGGATACAGGTGGGATTGGTCAGAAAATTCTATGGCCGACGTACTCAGGTTCAGTGATCGCGATGCATGTTCTTTTCCTTCCAAGCAGCAGGTCAGGGAGAAACCGATTCTGTACCTCCGCGTTTGCATAGTGCAGCAGAGGAGGAACACCGAATGCCATGCCAGTGGTCAAGGATCCCGGAGGTCCAGCTAACCCAGAACGACTCATCTGCATCCCAGCCTGTCAGCCTTACTTAGGAGGAAGAGGTTGAAAGGCAATTCACCTCATCTGAGTAGATCATGGTGTGCAATGCGTCCCATTCTTCTACTGGTACCTCCCCAGGCATATGCGTCACACCCAACTTGTGCAGCCATTCCACGGGTAAAGGCGCCGGCAATGCCGGAATTAGGAAGTTTCCTTTGGCGAACTTTGCGAATAAATCAGTTGGTACGTCTTCCGCTGTCTCCCACTCCATAGCATCCTTATGCAGGTTCTCGTCGAGAAACTTTCTGCAGGCGACTTGAAATCTGCGATGTGAATCGTTGAAGTATGGTGAGGGCAAGCCTCTCAACCATGGTGGATCTGCGAATGGTACTTGGGACATGATTTCGGCTAGCAGTCGTGCGTGATCAAGGTACTATGGGAATCTGGCAGGTCGGAACTGGGTTATTTACGACTGAGGGTCAGATGCAAATGTTTAGATAAAGTAGACAGTCTCTCGAACTTCTTCTTGTTGTTGATGGAGAGTACCTGAGCTCGGGCAGCTCTGTCGGCATCTTGAGTGCGGGGCCGGCTGAAACCGAGGTCTTCCACGGCCCCTGGACCCCACTCAGCGCTAACTACGGGCCGAAGACGAGTCCGTTGTAGCGGCGGATCACCGAGAAGCGGGCTAGACTATAGCCGGATGACTTTGATCGGGCCGGAATTGACTCGAAGTTTTTGATTCAGCCTGGCCTTTGCACCGCACTTTGGAAGTTCTTCCGACATTTTTGCAGAATGGTCTCGGACCAGAAGTCGCGTGATAGGAGACCGGTTTCTGGAAGCATAATTGAAGTCTAGAACAGATTCCTTTCTCTGCCGCCCCTGATTCCCTCATTCCACCTTGTAAAATTAGACACAGCGCGAACTGAGTCACGCGTTCAGGAGCATGAAGGTATCCACGAAAGTTCTTTGCTTGTATTTACTGGTCTATGGGAGGTGCAGTATGTGGGGAAAATATGTACAACATGAAGTCGTCAGTCTGCTTAACACCGTCGGAGGTGTCTCTCACACCAATCTAAACCTACGCGCCAATGTAGAAGTCGATGCAGCTCTCGTAAGTCTGCTTGTTCGTCTCGGCGTACCAGAACCACTGGATCGCGCACTTGCCACCAACGTCGCAAGCGGAGGCAAGGGTATCGGGAATGGTGATGTTCCAGTCAGCTGCATGCTTGTTAGTAGGAAGCGCGCGCAACTAAACTGGTTATTGTATCCACTTACTGTCGGCCAACGGGTCGGGGTCGGTGGTGGGCCAGTCAGACCACGAGATGAGCGGCTCGCCGATAATGGTGTTATTCGCAAGGTCGATCACGGAGATGTTCTGTTGTCAACGTCAGTACATGCACTTCTCTCCTTGATATGCAGGGCCTGGCTTACGGCGTGTCCTGGTCTGTGTCCAGCAACAAGGTCGATGTGGAAAGGGATGACTTCGCCGGCCTTGACGACGCGAACGTTGTCCTCATTATCCTCGTACTGGTAGCCACGGCATTGGAACAAGTTGCACTTGTAGTCGGCATCCGCCACCGCAAGGGAGTTTTCGATGGGACCGGCGATGTCGCTGTCGAGCTTCTTGGTCACTGCTGCTCCGCAGAGCTCTTCCTGCTTGGCGCCAGTCTGCAACCAATTCGTTAGCTCCAACTTTCAGTGCGCGACACACATGGTCTCGGAGCCTACCGTTCTGGGCTCTGGGGTCTGAACAACACCATGTCCCAGGACACTAGTAGCTAGAGCTGCAATGATGGCGTGCGTGAAAAACATTGTGGAGTTACAACCGGACGAGTGATGCCGTTCGTGGAGTTGTGTTGGTACCAAAGTGCGCAAAGCTGCTCAGAGGTCGAAGCCGAACTTCCGAGCGTAGACCTTTAAACGTCTTTTGGGACTCCCTCTCGAAATCAATCGCATGTTTTAGACATCAAGATTAAAGTGTCAGATGGATCGACGACAAGCAGAATTCCGCCGTTGTTTAATCAATTGCCCGCGTGGCAGCCCCCGTTTTCCGCCAATTCTCCACTAATGACAGGCTTGCGGTCGCCAATCATGCCCTTGAGTTGATTAACCTGCGGCAGTTGGCGACACCCACCGGCAATCCACTGCACCCCTTGGTGGAACCGCAGTATGAGAAAAAATGCATGGACAATTGGTGGGATTTTCTGAAGAAGCCCGGGAAAGAGGGAGAACAAAAGGGGCCGGAAGTTGTATTAGAACGGAGGCACTCTACCAAGTAAACAGAAAGGGGCATGAAACAGGGCAATGAAAGCTCTACGCCAAGACTTGAGAGCGGACCATCGGCAACATGAGAGTCTTGAATTTTTCAAGAGGAACTCATGGGCCATAGCCGTTCCCGACTAAGCCTCTCAGGATGACTATGATACCAATGCAACGGTGAAGGGCTACGGGTATGGAACCCTTACCGTTCGAACTTTGGAAAAGCCAAAATCATATCAAAGTGATCAACGCTGTGGCTATATGAGTGGTGGGAGGATGTATCACTGATCGAGACCGTCATGGCATCTCAACTTGAGGTACTATATTTTGGAGGCTTTGATGTAATTCCTAATTGAGGCTTCAGGGGGTTGCCGGCAGAAAAGGTTCCTCACGCTGTTGCATCCCTGAGGCTCTAGCAAACCGGGGACTACATGTATATCTGGAAACTTAACACTAACTATATTTCATTGCCTTGTATAGGTGAGTAGGTATGTAAACGCTTTTGTCAGCGAAGAATGGTTCTATAAAGGACGTGGAGAGAGAGTGCATACAAATTGTCTTGACTGTGGATACCACCACAACTCACGACGTGTCGAGTCAAGTAGGCAGGCATCATTTATGATTGACGTCTGGTGACTACACTGAACATTGAGCGACACCGCAAGACGGTGACAACTCAAAGTTTCCCTTGCAGATATTTCGAATAACATGGCCCGTTGGTTGGTCCAACCCCCCCCCCCCCCCCAATTATCCTAGTGGAGTCAAGTATTCTCAAATTGCTGCGCAGATGTGACACTGAGGACTTATTGCTAGGTTTGGTCCTCACATTTAGTCGATGAGGCTGAACCTCAATTTATGGCTGTCAATAACTAACAACTTATTCGAGGCTTGACACGACTTTCTAGACAACATTTACTCTTATCTACAATGCTGACAAACACATGCATGAGCTTGACGTCATTTCCAAATCCCCGCGTTGCTGCCTAGCTGATAAGTTACTTATTTTCATGAAAGAGTCAGCCACTACTACCATTAAGGACTACGATGCATGCTGAGGAGAGTTCTTCAAACACAACAAAGAGTTGAACGGCGCACAACTATCAAGGCGGCATCTTGGAAGAAGTCTAAATACAAGCATACCTAGTTACTAGGCATCTAAAATCGACATGTCTTCAGATACGCCGCGCTTCATTCCAACCCCAACTTCTTTAGAGAGTTATGCTCCGTTCAGCCACGGAAAGAACCCAGAGGATCGTGTCAAAGAGTTGTTGACACAGATCATTCAAGCTCATCCCCCTCTGAAAGTATACACGAAAGAACAATGTCGAGGCCTTTTCCGCGGTCCGACGTCTTTGGCATATCTACTGCTTAGAGTCCATGAGTCTCATCCCGAAATCAGAATCCAGAGTCAGTCACTCCAAGATTGGGCAGCCGCATATCTCGCGGCCGAGCGTGAAGCGGGAGATTCAGCGCCTTGTGGCCTCGCATGCGAAAGCGCTGCCTTTTGGGCGGTACAGACGATCCTGGACGAATCAAAGGCGCCAAAGCTACGAGAAGTGCTGGAAAGGCTTGCCGACAAAGACGGCCATCCATATGAGCTGCTTTTCGGCTATGCTGGTATCTTGTACATGATCCGCGCCGTCGAGTCCGCGGTACGTGTCCGACTTGCGGGTTTTTATTCATGTTCAATGTGAAGTTGACAACAGCATACATCAGAGACCGGGAACGGCAAGTCAACTTAACACCGCTAAAGTCCGAATCGTCGAAAAGACACTTGGCGCAGGGCCCTTATGGACGTGGCGCGGGAAGCGCTATATCGGTGCCGTCCACGGTGACATTGGCATCTTGACCCAACTCATACTGACAGACCCGAAGCTTGCGGAGAACCCGATTATCCGGGGCTCACTTAAGCGGATGCTTGAAGTACAGCGAGAAAATGGTAATTGGGAGACGAAAGACGACCCAGGTAATACCATCTACGAGGGTCTCACTCAATTCTGCCATGGAGCGCCTGGGTTTGTTCTCTCGCTCGTGCACCTTGAGAAGTTCTTCCCAGACTTGAAGGAAAAAATTGGCAAAGCTCTTCAGCTTGGCAGAGAGTTCATCTGGAAGGAAGGCCTTTTGCGTAAAGAGCCTTGTCTGTGTCACGGAGCACTCGGTAATTCTCTGTGAGTAAAGCATGATAACCTCGGGTTCGGATTCTCATACAGTCACTTACAATTTGGACAGGGCTTTTCCGCCGGGGAAAGAACGGGACCACTTCCTGGCTTGGTCGCTGCCGTCCAAAGTTGCGGAAGAGCGCGAGCGGGACAGGACGCTTTTCGCACCTGAGGACGGGGCGCGCCTGGCAACGTTCTTCGACTACCTGCCTAGCGCAGCTTGGACATACATGGTTTGCGGAGAGGAAATTCCCGGGCTCATTCTCTACACTGATGTGTAAGTGTCCAAGTAACGTATAATGCAGAGTAGGGCGGCGCAACTCTAGGCAGTGCAAACGACTACACGCAGTAAGCTTTTTCAGCTTCGGTTGTTGCACACTTCATGTAAGGTTGCTGTAGAGGAGATTTTGGTTGCGACTGAACTTTGTTAAGGAAGAAGAGAACGTTAAACGGGAATATCGTCTGAAGGTCACACCCCGACTTGTTTCATTGCCACAACTCTGACATAAATGTGAGCTAATCACTACTTTGATCATTAAGTACATATAAGGGTATTGGTCTTTCGTTATCTGTCATCACCCGTGCCGTCATTGAGGCGGAAAAGCCGGATGATCCGGTGGACGAGTTGCAGATCTCACCACCACCGTCGTCGTGATTGACCCATCGGGCCCATGATCCTTTACTATCCTGAACTTCTCCTCATCCGGCAATTCCGAAACCCATGTGTCGGATGTGCAGGATCTCTTCACTGTAGTTCTGCTGTAGGCAATCTCAAATTCCTTCTCGATCATGATCATCTCAAGACCCTGTGGAGATAGGCTGAAATCTCTTGCGGCCTCAAGGTCGCCGCATGTGGGACCAGGCCATAACTTCCTTCTCGAGGCGGTAGAGGTCGGTGAAGCCGGGATAGTTGGAGATGGCATCGGCGTTGAGAAGTGCCCTGGGAAGAGATGATCGACCAGAGGCTGTAGTGCTGGAATACATGCGGCGATAATGACGACGTCTGCCTCAAGACTATGTTCAACGTCAGCTATCTTTAATTTACCTGGATTTGAACCTCAAGACATCTTTGAGCCTTGATCTCGTTCTTCAAGACAGTTCTTGGGTCGTATCATGGATGCCTTACCTCGTCCATATTACAAGGTCCGCTGAGTCGTCTGTATCCAATGATCAGCCCTCACGTACGCCAATCAGAAGTAGAGTCCTACTCACAAGTGAAGTCGGGGCTTCCTAGGGACTTTAGTCTTGTGCACTTGAATAAGGCGGTAAACAATGCACTGGTGTAAAAGTTAGCTCCCGATATCTTCATTGTCTCATATACGGCTTCAAGAGTCTCCAGGTCGTGCTAGAGAGGCATGTCGGTGCCCGGCTTGACTTACAGTAGACCCAGAACAAGAGAAATCGTGATAGCCAGCCTCTTTCTTCGTGCAATCTTCAGCCTCCGAACGGATAGTGCCACGTAGATGGCGAGATAAGCATTCGTAGCAGCGGATATGCCTAGATATGTCACGCTGGTTAGTTAATCCGCTCTACGTCCAGCGCTATTTCGATAGAACTAAACCCACCACTCGTTGATATTGAGTATGCAACCGCTCTCTCTGGGCCTAGACAGGCGGTTTTTGTGTACGTGATGTTCATCACAGCTTCTTGCGGACACTCCGCAAAGAGCCCAATCACATTTCCGAGCAATCCGACGCAGCATAACAAGCCCAGTGTCCAAAGAAAAAGTCGGTGAAGTCGTCTTGGGTTGAGTAGTCGGTTCATCAGCGCCACTACGGCGAGCTTCGGCAAAGCCAGCGCAATGATTCCAAAGCCAAATGAAAATATTGTCCACCTTAGTGTCTCTTCTTTCTGCTCATCAGTGAGCATACCAACGTGTTTCCCATTGCCGAGCGCGACAGCCTTCAGCGTCGTCCCAGTCGCCGTCCATCCCACCACCACCGCTGCCAGGAGAATCCCATCGTCATATTGAATCCGGCGCTGGATCCATCCCTTGACGTACAACCGCGCAAACGCGAATAACGTAGATATGATGGTTGTCGGAACTACTGTTGCTACTATTATGGCGCTAATGTCGTGGTTATCGACGACATCGTCAGAGGGGTCGACGTCGCGCGGTAGTATGGGAAACGGTGATATCGTCGCTCGGGTTATCGTTTTGTACAACAAGTACATCATACGCGCAGGCGTGGTGTCATTCGATCATTGAGGCAAGGAATAAACATTACATGCCCGTATACGGTCGTATTCTGCCAACGTTGGTGCAGTAATGAGGGACGACGAGAAATGGGTTGATGGTTTTGGGGAGAGTGAGGGGGACAGTAGGTACAACAGACAGTAAGTGAAAAGAGTAAAACTTGAAACCTTGTTCTAGAAAGAAGGACGGGATCACGCACATTGTCTCACGGACCTGAGCAGCTACAGGCGATAGGTCGCAGAACTGCGTGTCTGAGGGTAAGCCCACTCCCCATCATCCGATTACATGGTTGGGTGAAAGCAAACTTAGTTTCTTCGGCCTGGCGCCGTTTCCTTCAGGCGGAACAAAGTCTCCAAACCAAGGAGGATGAACCGATGACTAAATTACAAAGCGTTGTAGGACCGAAAACCTGCTGCAAACGGCAGTCGACCCAGGTATCCGGGTTCCCGGAAAGCCATCGATTCTGACATCGACAAAGAAACACATTCAAAGCCGCGGCAGCCACGATCGCCAGTTCATGTAGCGAGACGCGGGAGCCGGAGCTAGTCCAGAAGCGATGTTGAGCTAACAACGTCAGCACTTGTTCGGGGTGTCTACTTGCGGACCGATTCCGAGGACATGGCCAGTGATTTGTCTTGATGTCAGATGTCAGAATCCGAAGAACAAGAACAACGTTTCTCGCAATAGGCAACTTACTAGTGTCGCAATGCCGTGAAGCCGGGGAAGGCTCCGAGCTCGTTTAGCCGCCTGATCAGACGTTCCGAGACGTTGACTGGCACCACCTGGCTACGACTAGCACAACCAAGAGGGGTTGGCCTAGCTCGCTTCAGCATCCTACTAATCTTGTTCATGACAAGACACGGTTCTACATTCTGCCCAGCTAGCCGCGAGTTTTACAAAGAGCCATTGAGCGCCAAGATGATAGTTCATTACGTACCCCATAGCCAGCTCATCAGATCGACAGCACCTAAGGTCTAGACCCTCTTGAGTGCTCGCTTCCCGGAGTGTGAATTGAGTGCCTTCGATCTCCAGCATTGAGGGAAAATGGCGGGTATCAGCGTCACCTAAACAGCAACTCGTTCATTGGGGCTGCGGCTTTCTGATGGCTTGATGACAATGGGGCCCTCTGCATCGCGAAGCTACGTCTCGCAAGCTACTAAGTACCGTAGATGATTACTCCCATGGACTATGCATTTTGCCCACAACTTAATTCGACTCACTTTCGAAGACCTAGCAGCTTTCCTGATTAGTTTGGTTGTGGTAATCCTGGAGATCATCAACGAGTAGGCAAACTTGCTAAACATATCAAGAGACGCGAGTAAAGCTTATTTCGAGGTCAAGGTTCTAAAGCCATGTGGGAGTCAGGGCATACTCTAATACCAGCATTAACCAGGTACTGAACATTGGAGAAATGGCGGTAGACTCTCGTCTCAGTCTAGGCTATCCCCGTCGTTTTCTCGACGCTGAAGTCATCTGCGCCCGAGAGCCTCGGAATCATTGGTTGCTCCACGCGAGGAAGCAAGCCTGAAACACAGACCAGACTGCACATTTTTCGAAATTTTGCCTTCTCGGCCTCTTCGTAAAATGTGGTCTCCGTCTGCCGGCCGGTCACCGATCGCGCCCCTCTTCGCGCCGGTCATAACAGCGGGGTGGGGCAAATGGAATCGAGAAAAGCCCCATGCCGAGAAAGGAGGTAGTTCGGGTGAGCCTCCATGACGAAGTCGAAAGAGGACCCTTTAGGATAAGGACCGATGGCATTCAGCGCGACACCCATAGGTCATCTTAATTGTAGCACCTCGTCAAAGACATGGTTCGCAACGGCAAATGCTTTTATGTATGGCTGATCCATAAATCAGCGCTGTGACAGCGTGACTCCATTGCCTGGCTCGTGGATGTTGGTCACGGTAGCCTCGTTGCGCCCAGCAGGCAGGCAAGTCAAAGTATTAGGGTCAAATAGGTCCGAGAGAGCTTCTTAACTGAGCAGAGACTCGAGAATTTGATGGAAAGTGAAGTTCAAAAGCTCGATCACCGTATTCAGTGGCGGGTCCGATCCATCATGATGGTTCCTGACATCTGTTAGTTTAGTTTGACAGCAAGCCGCTAGTCTCAGTTTCTAACAGCCACAATTAAGCGATGCTCAACAGGTATTCAGTCCTGATGAGGGTACTCGCTTGTCTTCCGGTGTCCCGACTTTGTGGATCGGGGCCCGAGCGGATCGACCAGAGCTGCCAACGATATAAGCGAGGTTGTAAGAAGCAAACATGCTTGCCAGGGTACAACTCCCTTCGCCGCATCAAGGGATACAAACCTCAGATTGCAATCAAGAAGAGGTATCTGAAGACATGGGCTAGAACAAAGAAGGCGTTGTGGCCTCGCGGGTAAGCGCAGCTACCAAACCTCGGTTGCAGTCCCGGACGAGTCTCACTGCCTCACGCCCCCTGGCTTGTATGGCATATATTACCCAGGCAAGAGATTTCGAGACTCATGAGATGCCGCCAAACTCAACAACATATTGCATTTGGAATGAGTATCTCCCTTCAATATCCACCAAATCGGAGGATGTGGCCATTGCAGGCTTGACATAGTTCCAATATGCGTCTATAAGAACGGCCAATCATCCACAGATTGAGCTTGAATGTAGTATCGACCAACCGCTATACCAAGCTTCGACCAGAGCTCAACGACGCGAAATTTTTGAACATGAGACTCTCAGGTGTTTTCTTCGGCCTTGTTGCCGTCGTGTCTGGGCATACAATTTTCCAGAAGCTCTCCATCAATGGAATTGACCAAGGAGCATTGAAGGGGGTTCGAGCACCTTCAAGCAACAACCCCATTCAGAATGTCAACGATGCCGGTTTCGCCTGCAACAACAACATCCAGTACAAGGACAACAATATTGTGTCCATCGCCGTTGGTGCAAAGATCGGTGCTTGGTGGGGGCACATCATCGGAGGTGCTCAAGGCACAAACGACGCCGATAATCCCATCGCGGCAAGCCATAAAGGTGGAACCCTGAGCCTTGACTTTCTCTTGCCGCATTATGTTCTTTTCGAATCCTAAATGTACAGAAGTACTGACCCGGATGTAATAACAGGCCCAATTGTTGTCTACCTAGCCAAGGTCAGCAACGCTGCTAGCACTGGCACGACGGGCCTCACTTGGTTCAAGATTGCCGAAGCCGGCCTGAGCGGAAGTACATGGGCGGTTGACACCATGATAGCAAACAATGGCTGGCACTACTTCACTCTCCCCTCATGTGTAGCTCCTGGGGACTACCTACTTCGCGTTGAGATCATTGCCCTTCACTCTGCCTCAACACAGGGAGAGGCCCAATTCTATATGGAATGCGCCCAGTAAGTTGGAACCACATCGTATAAGGTCTGGAGAGAGTTGATGACTCCTAACACAAAGTGCTTTAGAATTCGAGTGACTGGCTCAGGCACCAATGCGGGCTCCAATACTGTCAAGTTTCCCGGCGCCTACTCCGCGACCGACCCAGGCATTCTTATCAACATCTACGATAGTTCTGGCAAGCCAACAAACGGCGGCCGCTCATATAAGATCCCGGGCCCTCCGGTCCTTAGCTGTTCAGGTTCTGGAAATTCTGGAAGTGGCAATGGGTCCCCTCCTGTTCCCAGCTCCGCTCCTGTATCGAGCTCTCCTCCGTCAAGCAGCGGCAGCAAGACTGTGGCTTTATATGGGCAGTGCGGCGGTCAAGGATGGACTGGCGGTACGACCTGTTCTCAGGGAACTTGCAAAGTCTCGAATCAGTACTATAGCCAGTGCCTGCCTTGAGTTTTGGATCTTGAGAGTCCCAGCTAGCCCTTTGGAAAGAGTGATCTTGGTCTTCTGGGTTCAAGCTGCGCGCGTTGATCGGGGGTTACATGTACTTCCTGAACAAAACCAGCCTGTAGCCACATACTGCTGCATGGGCTCATCAACCAATTGACAGGTTGACGACATAGACATGGTCATCATTGGATTACTACCTTGGTCAATGTGCCTGGGGCGTGCCAGACTAGTCATTAGACAATACCCGGAATCTATTGTGAAGTGTCTAAGTTAAAGTATTGAAGAGCTGATGTGCCACCAAGCCAATCAGCTCGAACTCAATACAGTATCAATACCAGGCATCTAGATTGACGGTCAGATGAGCCAACTGCCTCGTACTGCCTATGGACTGTGCTCTTCTGATATTCTTCTCTGTTGGAGTGTGTGGAGCCGCAACTTTGAACGAAAATCACGCAGTGGATCCAAAGTAGACACCCTAGGGCTCCAGGATCTTCATCAGCAACTGGTCGGTTAGCTCAGTTGGTTAGAGCGTGGTACTAATATTTCATCAGAAATGTTCTGTAATGCCAAGGCCGGGAGTTCAAGCCTCCCACTGATCATTATCTTTTGCATTGGATGTCTAGGACGCTTCTCAACCCTTGGAATTCACTTTTGCGAGTTTTGGCCAAGTTTTGCTCCAATGGAATGTGTGCCGGTGAGCCCAACGTTTAAACCCGGAACTATGGGGACAGTGGAGTACGCACCCGGATCGGCAGTCTTGTTTCTCGCCGGTTCTCGCCGAGTCACACTTCTTCCGCTTAGGGACGTCGGACCGGAACTGTCCACACTTTTCACTGATGATTCCAAGGAAGAGAAACTGCCAGAGAAGAAAACCTGCTGCCTGCGGTATTCTTTAATGACATGTTGATCAAAGTAGGACTGGGCAGACGGGGGCGTTCTCTCGGCGCCGAAGAAGGCCGGCCACGGCTCCAATGTTTATGAAAGCACATTCCACCCGGCTCCCGGCACCGGTGGCATACGTCGCCGCGGCGTTCATCTCAACATGAGCAACAACGCATAAATGTATACGCGCACGAGCCAGATGCTGCACACGGACAACAGCGGGAAAAACAAGAGGAAATGCCACAATGCCCCGACATTCTTGAGACGATCGTAAGCGTTTTTGCCACGGCGACGGGCCCAGCCAGGATTGGTAAGCCCCCCTCTCCCCGCAGAGCTGCCATCATCGTAAGGGGCGACGAAGACAGCTGCTAGTAAACGGACTAAATATGCACGATGCTGTCATCAGACCCCTGACCCAAGAGCAGAATCCAAAGCTGATTCTTCCATCTTTCTCCAGTAGAAATCTGCATCTCTTGTGAACGAACCATTCGGCCTGTGAATTCGCCCCGTATGATCGTCAGTGGGTCCTGATCTTCGAGCTTCTCTACGACCTAAAACCCCAGCTGGTTCCTCTCCTTATCCTCATTGAAGAAACTTTTTTGGGGAAGCTCCAAAAGTGAGAACAAGAGCGGAAACAAAGAAACGCCCAATATGGAAATCGAAATCCCGGCTATCCATCCAGCAGTAGCAGTCAAGGCTCCGAGAGAGCCTCTGATCCTCATCGATGCCCCGACATATCCACCCGACGCCGGCGAGGTCATTGTCCAGGTAGAATGGACCTCCTCCACGCCCTATCATCTGCACCAAGCAGATGGCGGCCTATTGATCGACATGTTCCCCCGCATCCTGGGCGACACCTTTGCAGGGACGGTACTCCTAGTCGGACCCGGGCCGCACCACGTCGACCTCGAAGTCGGAGACAAAGTTCTGGGGTACTCATTCCGCGACGACAAGGACGGCAAGGAAAAGGCTGCTCAAACCCTCATCACCGTCCCCACTTTCTTGCTGGGGAAGATGCCCAAGGGGCTGACGATGCAAGAAGCCGTGACTGTGCCCGACAACATCGTTACTGTCTTCCAGGCCGCTGTTGATCTCGCACTGCCGCTCCCGTGGCCTATCCCGGAAGGGTGGACACCCCCGGAAGCGGATGCGCCGATCCTGTTGTGGGGCGGATCCGGATCAGTTGGCATGTACTCCATCGAGGTGTTCCGGCACTGGGGGTACAGGAATCTCATCGTGGTTGCGAGCGGGAAACACCACGAGTACCTCACCTCGCTAGGCGCGACGGTTTGCTTCGACTATCGAGATAAGCACGTCGTCCAGAGCATCCGGGATCATCTAGGCCCCAAGGGTGTCCCCTATGTTATTGATTGCATTGGACACTTGTCAGGATCTCTCGGACCCATTACCCATTTGGCGGACCGAGGCACCAAGGTTGCGGTCATGCTCCCCGTCGTCATCAAAGACCCGACAGAAATCGAAGCTCCTGTGTATCAGATGACGGAGCCCGCAGAAGGGCAATGGAAAGAAGGTGTTGTCGTGAAAGGTGTCAGAACACATTTCTATCTCAAGGTATTCCATCCTTTCCTTGAAAGATCTTTGGATACATTGGTTACTGACCGAAGTTTGATGCAGAACAAATTATTCAAGGACAAGATGCAATGTGAGATAATACCATCATTGCTGGAGCAAAAGGTGGTGAGGCCAAACCCGCAAAGGATAGTCGAAGGAGACACATTACTGGAGCGGGCTCAAGATGCCATTGTGCTCCTGCGGAACAAGGCTGTGAGTGGCGAGAGACTTGTTTGGAGAGTGTCAGAGAATGAAGCAATTGTTTAGTAACGTTCACCAAAAAGCTGTGCTCTTACTTAGCATAAAAGGAAGCGTTCGCATAAAAGGGCCGGATGGGGTTTGCTATTTTTCAGTGGCCCATGTTCACAGTGACAAAACTGGTCTGAGTCTCGACGTATGGCTTCTGCTGTAGCTTGTTATGCTCTTCAGCAACGGCAATATTTCGGAGTCTTGGCGAAGTTGAAGGTACCAGGGATATTTCGCATGTCCTCCGGGACACCACTAAATGCAGTCCGGGAAAGAAACCGGGATGGAAAGGAAGGCTACCATGCAGACAAAGGCACAATGGAAAGAAGCGTGTGTCGTTGTGAGCCCAAAGTGGTATTCGAATCCACCGGAAGTTGAAGCTATGCCACCGCGGCGACCCCAAAAGCGCGTGGCAAGTACGCTTCGGTATGAGGTCCATAACTTTTTTCTCTTAACCTGGTGATGCCAGATTTGGTGGCTCGTTCCGGCGGAAAGCGAATTGTGGAACTTACATTCGAATATTTACATACACGCAACGTTCTTTGAAGGCTATAAAACACTGCTGCTCAGATTTCCTGGAAGTCTGTATACTATCCGTGACAACAGCTCGAGCCGGTTAGTCTCTGTTACTTTTTTCACAATCGCCATCTTCCTTTTCAACTTCCATCGTTGGCACCTCTTTTCCCAACATTGATCTCGATCTTTGAATCCAACTCAACTACAAAAATGGCCGCCCCAACCACCAACACCATCACTGTCACCCTTCAGCAGGTCGCCAAGATGATTGATCACTCCCTACTTCACCCTACCATGACCGACGCCGATATTCTAGAAGGCTTGCGCATCTCCAAGAAGTACGGCGTTGCCACGGCATGCGTGAAGCCGTATCTGATTCCCCTCGCCAAAAAGGAACTCCAGGGTAGCGGCGTGCTGGTCTGCCCTGTCATCGGCTTCCCACACGGTAACAGTACCACCGAAGTCAAGGTCTTTGAAGCCAACCAGGCGGCTGCCGCCGGTGGCAAAGAGATTGACATGGTCGTCAATATCGGCAAAGTTCTCGGTGGCGAGTGGACCTATGTTGCTGAAGAAATTCGCCAAATCAACGATGTCGTCGTCAAGCATGGCGCAATACTCAAAGTTATTTTTGAGAACGACTATCTCCAAGAGGAGCACATTATCCGACTGTGTGAAATCTGTTCCGATGTTGGCGTCGCATTTGTCAAGACCTCGACTGGGTACGGCTTTGTGAAGCAGCCCGATGGCTTGTACACTTACAAAGGAGCCACTGTTCGGCATCTGAAGCTTATGAGGGAGCACTCGAAGCCCGAGGTCCAAGTAAAGGCTGCTGGAGGCGTTCGGACGCTGGATGATCTGCTCCACGTCATGTCGCTTGGGGTCACCCGAATTGGTGCCACTGCTACCGCTGGGATCATGGAGGCTGCAGTTGCGCGTGGAATCATGGATCAGCCGACTGAGGTAGAGTTTAAGCCCATCAGCGGGCCATCGGTGGGAGGCTACTGAGTCACGCCATAGTGTAGCAACTTCTTACACCTGATGTAAGAACAAATGTAGGCTAAATAGAGAGGTATTCAGCTACGTTGAATTTAGCATCTTTCGTTTCATGTTGAAGTAAGTCCTTTCAGGTCATCGGACAACTTCCTCTGGCGATAGTTTGCCTCATCCACATGACGAGTGGAAGTTAGCCTGTTGGCCAAAAGTTATGTCCGTTGAGATGTCTTGAAGGGTGCAAACATCGACTACCAACGTCTCCTTTACGGATTTACCGGGTCTCGGAGCCCTCATACAGAAAATGAGAATAATAATAAGTAGCCATTTTGGCCAAGTTCTTGCATTTGCTGGGGTAGAAATGCTAGCTGGATACCTATTCGGAACGGCGTGTTGGTCAGATGCTCGGCCGGAATGAATTACCGTAAAAGGTCTAGCGTCTTGCTAACTTGAGACTTTCTTTCCGGTGGAACTTTCTGTTCCGCCCCGTACAACCTCCGACTCACATTTACACGTCAACAACATCTTGCGCATCAAATCGAGCCCACTTTCAGCAATGAACAGGTCGGAGGATACAATACCCATGGAGTCGACTAGACCGAGGAGAAAGGTTGCAGCCGCATGCCAACGCTGTCGAAAGCAAAAGCTGAAGGTAGGCTGCCCAACCCTATGTGCCCATTCTTTCAAGCCCGGCAGTGTTGTTTTACATCATCTAACAGGATGGACCAGTGCGATACTGAACGTCCCTGTACTCTGTGTACCAGAGCCGGAGTGAATTGCATCAATGATAAACCTAGCGTGTGGAGGGTCCAGGGGCCCAACATCACCCCGTCACGGACTCGGAAGGGAGACAGGGTGCCAGGCATTGGCAGGTCTCGTCCAGCGAAACGGGACCGTCGAGCAACCGGAACGGAGGAAACCGCTGAGGAAAGCACTTCTCCCCTCGTGATGGCTACCATGCCACACTTGATACTTTCATCGGAACGCCAGTCACTTCCCGATGAATCAAGTCCCGCACCCGCTCCTCGGGCATCTTCGGAACAGGTTACCTCTAGTAGACCATGGTCAACAAACTCGGCTGCAGTCAGCTTCTTAGACGAGGTAATTATTCTCAAAGATCCCTACTACGATGGAAGTTAGACCTGACTTGGATCCTGAGCAAGGCATTCCAACACCACGACATACACACGCCGGACGAAGCAGATACTTCCGCCTTCGCAGCTACTGAGTGGACTTCGCGAGGTACCCATGAAGACGCCAGAGAAGCCAGTGCTTCCGTCGCGTCATTAGCTCGACCCCTTTCCCAACAGCATATCCGATCTATCTCACGGCATCATGGCGCCATGAGCGCAGCCCAAAGAGACTTTCTTTCCGTCTTGCCAGCACAAGCCCCTGTGGCAGTGCTTGTCAACATTTACTTTGAGAAGATCCATTGGTTTATGATGATATTCTTCACAAGCGAGTTTCGAGCCCGAGTTCAAGAGCTTCATACTACTGCATCACCGGGATCTCCACCAAGAAAAGCGAATCCCGGTATACTTGGTCTTGTGCTTGCTGTCTGCTTAACTAGCCTCCGCTACGCCAGCCCCGAGCAGCACTCTCAACTCGTTGAACTTGGCGTTGATCCAGATTCATTGCAAGAAAAAATATTGGCGACGTTGAAGGTGAGATTCCTCGATGTAGTCTCCCTGGGATCCATCGAGGCTGTGCAGATGTGCATCTTGTTAGGAAGTTTCTATCTGTACCACGGAGAACCCGAGCTTGCCTGGCCCATTTGCGGAAGCGGTTTGCGTATCGCCCAAGCTCTCAAACTTCATCAACGACACAAAGATGAAGATGAGCCCTCAACCGTACCCGACGTTGACAACCCGGTCCACAGGGCAGCTGAGACACGCAAAAGATGCTGGTGGGCTATCTATGAGATTGAGACCTTCTGCTCGATGCTGTATGGCTTTCCTCTTAGCATCGTTGACGAGGATTGCAACGTCGAAGTACCCGAACAATATCCTTTGCGATCAAAAGATGCGTCTTGGGAGTCCATAAGATGGAAGTCGACCGGAAAAGCTACTGTACTCTCATACAAGGTGTCGATGGCACAGCTGTCGATTATCGTGAAAAGGGCGCTGTCGGAGCTCTACGGGAACCGGAAGCAGCCCAACAGCAACGAGATCGGTGCAAGACCCGAAGGTCCATTAGTTCAGCGTCTCATAAATACAGTCACTAGCTTGGACCAACAGATTCGTCAGTGGCACGACCATCTTCCGCAAGAGTTAGTCTTCAAAGAAGATGAGGTTGCAATCGCAGCTGACTGGCCCGGGGGCGCCAATCATTCTCTGAGGCCGGAACATCACCAGCACACTTTCCGCATCCAGGGACTGGCACTCAAACTCGCATACGAGAACGCTAGAATACTGGTCCACAGGCCCTTACTAGCCTACAAAGCAATGAAGAAGATCAATACGACCGAGGGTTCGGATTTCCGTTCAATCGGAGAGAATGATCCGCTCCAGCGCTCGGTGCGGAGTTGCCGAGACGCGGCCTTGCAGATTGCCAACATTGGCTGCACGCCGCACTTCAAAGAGGTGATTGACACATACGCGTTGTCATTTGTCGCGCTACATCTGTTTACTGCCGGTGTTACGCTCTCCATCATGACGGGACTGGACCCATTGAGCCGGGAGGCCTATGACTCCAAAATGGGCCTTCGAAAATTGATGGAGATGCATTCTCAACTCAAGTCCAAGTCTGTTGTCGCCGAGCAGGGACTGAACATTCTCACGAAACTGATGAAGCTAGTCATGACTAAGGAGATGGAAAGAATGCTTCACTTGGATATTCCCCCACCAACAGAAACCGACCAAAATGGAAGAGACATCGAAACAAGGGCTAGCCTGAATGCCATTGAAGTCACTGGCCAGAGCCCCAACAGGATTCCCATAGACTCAAACAGCAACATCAACCAGATCACACTACAGCAAAGTCCGCCGGCGGCTGACTTAGTAGAGGATGCCACAGCGAGCCTAAGCTTCAGCGAGGACCCAATCATAACACAAGCGCTCTCGGAATTCGAGCAGAGTAAGGCTAAGTCCCCCAAAGAGATTTCTTTAGCTAACATTAGTTTTAGTTATGATGTATGATATCAATGGTGTCGGGGAGGGAGACCCGGTGGAGTTCAGCGAGTACCTCACTGAGAGTTGTTTCGGGAGACAGGATCAGGGATGGATATGGAACCAAGGACACTCTTTTGCGAGCTAGTCATTGATTTGGACCAACTTCTGAGGTACAACTGAAATTTCTGGCTTGTCCTGGTCTGAATGATATCTGCCGGTATTGCCTACCCGGTTTAGTTCTCTGGAGAATCGCGGGGTTCGTCTCCCCACCGGAGCTCGAGCCTGTCTTGCTCCGGCGGGGTAACAAGACTGACGAACCCAGCCGGCCTCGTAATTCTTCGTGGTGAAAGCGCAACCTTAGCTTCAGTAACCCCGCTGGCCCGACTACTCGACGAACTCCGGTGG